CTCTCTCTCTCTCTGTCTCTCTCTCTCTCTCCCCCCCCCCTTTTTCTCTTATCTTCTGTTCTGTATCCTCTCAATCGTCTATCTTTTCTCTCCAATGATTCTACACTCATGTTATATTATATTTATGTTATTATGTTTTATTAAATTACATTATACAATATATTATACTCTGTATTATATTATATATATATGAGCTTTCCTCTTCTCTCACGCCATTCTTGTGTTACAGTTATAGTTTCGAGAAACGAACTATCGAATCGCCCATCGTGACGAGAGAGGAAAAGAGGACAGACACGGCCCTTTTTTCCGGTCGGGTTACCTTTTTTTTGCGCGAACAAAAGTTTTGAGCGCGCACGACTTTTTGCATTTTTCGTGCCTCTCCGATCATGCTATTCCGATCGCTTTCCTATCATTCTCTTCGTAACCTCCTTCACTCTTCCGATTTTATAAAATGGCATCAACGCGACGTGAAACATGAAACGATGATGGCCCTACTTTTTTGGCTGGCGAGATTTTATATTTTTGGATTTTTTGCGGCAATAAAATCTCCAACGACTTATTCTAGCTCTCCCGAAACCTCCCCAGAAACTCCAATCGCCCCATCCCTTTCAACCCCTTCTTTTAGTGTGCCCACAATCATTTTTTCCAGGTGCACGCAGCCACGGATTTTTCAGAAGCTGATAACCAATTTTTGAGCTCAGCTATTAAAAGATGAAAGAAAAAGAAAGAAACGAATTTTCTTACCGTTTTTTACAGGGCCTAATCGCAACTCTCTCTTTGTTCGTTGCCGTTGGTTTTTTTCATCCCCAGCCCCACTTTTAAAACTTGGATATCTATTTTGACACGCTAATTAATATCTAATTAATACTCACTCAAGTGTTTTTGTCTTTCCTTGAAGCATTTGCAGGAGGATGATCCAGGTTTTGAACAGCTAGTTTTTAAGATCTCTATTCACATTATCGTAATATATATCAATATTACCTAATAATATGTACTCATTACACTCAGTGTTCTTTCTGGTGGTTACCGTGATTACGTCAGTAAAGATGTTTCGTTTCTCTCCTTTAGTTTATGAACTCACTCTTGCCACATGTTATGAAGATAGAAGTCAGGCTGGCTGCTCCGCGTGCCATTATTTCCGATTACTTTTTTTTTCTTTTTTTTTATACCGTCATTAGCTCCACCGGCCACATGAAATATTTAAATAATACTAATGAAATTAAATAACAACTTGTTACATGTGCAACAATCAGACGAAAGTAATGGCAACGCGAGAGACAGCTTGCGAGTGAAGCGCTTACGTATATATATATATAAAAATTCTAGCGAATGTTATCTCACACACAAGAATATATATATATAAGACGCTACTTTTTCACTATATATAT